TTTTTTTTTCCAGAAACAGGAATCTCACTATGTTGCCCAGGCCATACTCAAACCCTGGACTCAAGTGATGGCCCCACCTCAGCCTCCTGAGTAGCTGGGAATATAGGTGAGCACCACCGCACCCAGCTAAAGTGGGCGTTGAAATGGCCTCCGTTCTTTGCCCTATCTGGTTTTAGCAAGAAGACAAGGACAGCAGATGGCAGCAATCAGCACAGAGTTAGAGTTTGGTCATTATCCACAAATCTTGGCTAAGATATTTTTCTGGATAATGAGACCAATGTTCCTTACAGACCTGCAATCCCCAACCTCCAGGCTGAGGACTGGTATCGGTCCTGTTAGGAGCCGGGCTGCACAGCAGGAGGTGAGCAATGGGGGACCAGCAAAGCTTAATCTAAATTTACAGCTGCTCCCCATCGCTCACATCTAGGCCTTAGCTCCTGTCAGCTCAGCAGCAGCATTAGGTTCTCATACGGGCCCAAACTCTACTGTAAACTGCGCATGCGAGGGATCTAGGTTGTGGCTCCTTGTGAGAATCTAATGCCTGGTGAGCTGAGGTGGAGCTGAGGTGGTGATGCTAGTGCTGGGGAGCAGCTGCAAATACAGATGATCATTAGCAGAGAGGTTTGACTGCATAATAAATGTAATGTATTTGAATCATCCCAAAACCACCACCACCCCCGCCCCGTCTGTCCATGGAAAAATTGTCTTCCATGAAACCAGTCTCTGGTGCCAAAAATGTTGGGGACCACTGTTATAGACAGATCAATGTCTTACTAAAATATTTTGTAGGTATCACATAACATCGAAATTCTGCTTATTATATTGCAGAACAAAATAGATAAAACCAAATGTTCTTTCTCCAACCATTTCCTAGAAAGAAATTTCTCGATATTTAACTAGAATGAAATGAAGACTTTCTAACCTTTTATCTTTAACACAATATCCAATTAAAAGACAAGACACTTTAAAAATCCCAAATATTCTTTTCACTATTTGTTTTACATTTTGCCAGCCACTCACTGCTTTCTATATA